GCTACGACTTCTTTAAGCAGCCTAGTTGGGATCGGGTCTAACAGACAGGTTGATGGCTTCGATGAAGAAATTATTGAAGTTAACTGATGAAGATCAATGGCAGAAAAACAGTCTAAATATATATCTGAATTTACATTAGTTTAAGTTAAAGTTCCTGAATAGATATCTATTTATCTATCTATCAATCAAAGGACCCAGGTGGCAGAAAACAATAAATATAAAAAACATTAATAGAAACTCTGAGAACCGACCTGATAAGAAGCTAAGTCAATTTCTGGTAGTTTAATTTTAAAAGAATATTGACAGTGACTAATTTCTGTGTAAAAGGGGGACACACAAAGGGGTGGCTGTAGCTCAGAGGTAGAGCGGGTAGTCCACCAATTGGAAGGTTGCTCTATTTGAAAACTGTCCTCAGATTACTTATGTTATGAATTGGTGCTATACTAATAAAATTGAAGTTAACTTTTTCTTGTAAAACTATATCCATTCACCCATCTGTCTGTCTCTCATTATTATGTGGTGCGTAATGACCTTTGACCCACCCTGAGTGAAGCCAAGAGCTGCAAACACACTCAGCTTCAGCTCATGGTTGCTCTGCGTGCCATTTATCGGTGGCTCATCAGCCCAGAGGCTCAGCCAATAGTTGTAGGCCAATGAGGCGGCCTGCTGGAAGGCACAAAGGAAGATGATGGTCATGATGAACGTCAGACCGATAGTCCTGAAGTACTCTCTATACATCTGCAGCTTTACCTGACAACAGAAGAATGACATTGTTAATCTCACAAAGATACTGCATGTTCTGCAGTGTTCAGTCTCATTTTCATCCATTTATTACATCGGTTTAAGTTTTAAGCTCTACAGTCAATAAAAAGCATGAGTTTGTGTGGTTGTTTCTTTGCATCATAACTGCATCTTAAGTGCTGTCAAATTCAGATCATGTGGAAACATAATAACAATAATAAGAAGAAGAAGAATCGTAAAGTTTCAATCCTCAGTCCATGAGATTAGTTAATTAGTTTGCTTCTTAAGATCATGGATTTAGTTTCTGATTTTAGTTTCTGCATTCAGTTCAACATGTGGTACATATAAATGTAGTTAATACGTTCAAAGAAGGACCTACCCTGCCCGTGTGAGCTTTGTCGGCCTCTGTAAGTTTTCCAGCATCCTCAGTGTCCAAGTCTTGATTGACAGCCTTCATCATCTGAACACTTGCACTACTCATATCACAGCTGGAAGACATACACACACACAAACAATAAGCTCATAGATCAATAATTTGATCACAATGGTTTCAGGAGGTTGGAGGTCCTGAATGTAATATTATGCAAATGTACTTTAATTTACTGTTGTGTTTGTTATTTTTAAAATATTTTAATGTGTTTTTGTGTTTAGGATTCATTTACACTTGTAGTTTGTCTACCTAATCAACTGCTCCTGAGAAAGATCAATGGAAAAATCAGTCATACTGAGACGAGACACTGACTTCCTGCTGCCTGCAAACAAAAATATACATAATATATATTAATATAGAAATTTAAAAGCACACATAACACAACATAAGCAATCTAAATCTAAATCAGACTCTACATTAATAAAGAAATGTTTTTCGAATTTAAACATTTTCACTGTATATTTACTGGAGAAGAATAACTGATATTTTGACTGTTTTATAAATCTCACAGATGGCCCACACTTTCAACTGATAACAGTTGAGTATCGCTGGGTAATTTAGTTAATTATAGTTTGATTCTTACAATAATTTATTTTCCTGTCTATTCCTTTCTGTAGTGTTAGGCAGTAAGGCATTACTAGTAATAATATTACAGTAATAAATTCCAGTTTTTGTATAACTAGCCCAACATTGCTGTTAAATTCACTGTCTTACTCTTGTCTCTGGGGGTGGAGCTTTCTCTGCGCTGGTTTCTATTGAAGGTGTGAATAAATTTGGCAAAGGTTCCCTTCCTGTCCATCAGCTCCATGTAGGAGCCCATCTCAGAGATTTGACCCTGCTCCATCACCAGGACCAGGTCTGCTTTGGACAGGAAGCTGAGCCCGTGAGTTACCAACACCCGGGTCTAAAAAAAACACATCAACACACTATTAGACGGGGTGCAGGTTTTTCAGGAGATTTTTTATAGATGTTTTACAAAAGTCATTCAGGATTTAACGATCCAGATGGCTGTACACTCCTCAGTCTGGTGACAAGGTTCTTCTGGTCCTTGTTGGTCAGAGCTCTGAGGGGGATGTATTAGTTGCAAACTGGTAGGCCGTAAGGTGAAGCCATTTTTCATTTAATCCAATTCCCATATATGGGGCACTAAATCATTTTAACTTCATTAAAAGATCTATTGGTTTTGAGTGAGAAAAAAAAAGATCTAAATGTGTCATCCTGCAGTTTTAAAAACCTCACATAATCAGATTTTCATCATGAGTGATGAGGATTCATGGAACAATCGACAATTTCTTTCCTTTGGAATAATGAGGTGGATGCATGCATGGAGGCAGCAAAGAAGAGAAAATTATGGCATACCACTTACTACTGATAAAACAACAACTCAATAGCTCCTACACTTCGGCCCCTAATTGTGCATAAAGTACCAAATGGAGTTCGGTCTAGACCTGCTCTATTTGAAAAGTGTCCTGAGATAACTCATGGTGGTACTGTTGGGTCTCTGTAAATAATGTTATAATGAGTTTTGTTATGAATTGGCGCTATACAAATAAAATTGAATTGAATTGAATAAAAATCATAATTAATTGAATTGAATTTAACTTTTTACTGAACAAATCAGGTGCTCCCAGACAACACCCTGATGAGAAGCTGCTGGTGTGTTCAAGTTCAATGTTATGCCATTATTGACCAAAGCCCAATTTTGCCATGACTTAGACCAGCCAGACTTTATTTCAGCTCACGATTGGTTTAAACAAAGATTATGCCGTTATAAGACCTGATAGATAAGACTGGAACCCGTCGGCAGATAAACCTCCACACTGCATTTTTACAATATTTATAATTAATAATTAATAAGTTACCCTTCATTGAGGCAATTTGCGCTATAACTTTTGTCATTGTACATACTGAATGATTGACTGCTTTGCCTTAGCAAGATCATTAGGACTTTGAATGTGGCTTTAAAGGTCTGAATCTTTCTTTCCACTTCATGTGGTTCAGTCTCTAGATTGTCCTTAAGGAGGTTTGCAGAAGCACAAAACTGCTTTCTCTTCTGTTCCAACAACATTAGAATTTCCTTGATCTTCAAAAACATAGCCACAGATGTTTTCAGTTTCATCCAAGATGAAAAATAATATATTAGGTGGCTGGTGACATTTTACAAATCTTTGACAGCATTCACTGTCAAGTCTCTTTTGACCTCTGGATCATCTGCAGGAATCACATCAAGATCCACATCCAGTTTAGGTCATTACTCCTTTGGCCTATAGAGAAACTCAGGCTTCTTCACCAAAGGACCAACAATGTCCATGGCAACCCGCTGGATACAGGTGGAGCAGGTACAAGTTTTTACCTTGTCTTTAAGGAGTCCTCTGGGTCCAATGACTCGCTCAAAGATGTGTTGCCCCACGTGAGCATCAACAGCCGACAGTGGGTCATCCAGCAAGTAAACATCTGATTTTCTGTAGACGGCACGAGCCAGACTCACTCTCTGCTTCTGACCTCCAGACAGGTTCAGACCCTGAAGTCAGTAAATGCATAATCAGTAAACAAAAATAGAAGTCATACATTCAACAAAAAACAGTCAGACCAACGAACAGTCAACAAAAAACAGTCAGTGACAAACAGCCAACTATAAACCGTCAGAGAACATTAATAGTCTTAACACTCAGAGCACATCAGTCCTCCTGTGATCAGACAGACAGCGTTTACATTTCCTTCAGATGCAATTTAACTCCTGAGGGGGGCAGTATTTATACCTTCTCCCCAATCTCAGTGCTGTCTCCAGCAGGTAGGATATCCAGGTCTTGCAGCAGAGCGCAGGCTTCCAGCACACGATGGTACCAGCTCTCCTTCCTCTCTCCCCCAAACAAAATGTTGTCTTTTAGAGAGGCGTTTTGGATCCAGGCCTGCTGGGGAATGTAGGCCACTGAACCCTGTACCACCCCAGTGAGGATAAGTATTATTATCACTATGGATTCTGCTATAAAGTACATCAGTTCAACAGATAACATGTAGCCAGGTGGAATTGACATTGGGGGTAAAATGTGGGGAGCATGATAAATACGAGGGACGAGCATTGCCATCCTATAAGGTTGTAATGCAATCATATTTCTAGTTCCCTCCACTTAGAGCCCTTCAGCTAAGTAATGAGCCAGAGAGCTAACATTATGCTAGCAAGATTCAAAGTCAACAAACTAAACTAGTAAATACTGTATAATCTGATAGAATGTTTAACAAGACTAAACATTTCATTGTCCCCAAATCAATATGCAGATTTTTTATCAATATTTGGTATTTTTATTCAGTTTATTTCCTTTCATTTAGAACGGTGAACAGACAGTTTCACTGGAAATACTCAGTAGGTGTCCTACATCAGGAAGTATGGTATAAAGCCATGGTATAAAGGTCAGTATTCAATCACAAAGCAAGTGTATATAGTGAGTTAAGGACAATCTGACAAAGATATACACTAGAAAAATGGCACTATACATAGTGTCCTACAATAGTGCTCATAATGAATCACCTTCAGAAATAATAATCCATTAAGTTAAGTACATAATAATCTGATAATGTCAGTACACAACTCAATAGAATATATAACATAGGTCTGTAGTGAATACTGAATGTGAAAATGTTACAGATTAGTATTTTTTTAATTCTGGCTGCTGGTACTGCTTGCATAGTTTAGCAGAGCTGAAATTTTAGTTTGGTCTGACTCTGGTCTGACAGCCAGTGTTTGTTTATTGTTTATTTTAACAGTAGATGAAATTTTGTATTTTAATGTTTCAATTAGACATAAAAAATTCCACTCTGATGCAGTGCTTGTCTGGAGACAAAGCTATAAATATATCAGAAGAACTGGATTAACAAGTATCAACCAAACAACCATTATAACAAACCAACAGCAACACCCTAAATGTTTTTGTATGTTGTACTACACATGCTCATTAGTGTTTTCTTCCCTGGCTCTGTCCACTAAAATGACATCACACACATAAACACCTCTTTCACAGCTTAAAAATTAATAATCAAAGAGTAACAATAATAACTTTTGTCACCTTGATGGAGACAAAGCCACTCCTCTTCTCCATCTCTCCCAACATGGCTGACAGCAGAGATGACTTCCCTGAGCCAACATTGCCAACCACGGCCACCAGCAAGCCCGTCTTCACCTTCATGTTGATTCTCTGCAGACACGGCAGTCCATCACTGGTCCAGGAGAAGGACCCACCCTCAATCACCACACAATCTCCGTCTGAAGATAGAACACGGTTCCACATGGATCCACACAATTCTATGTGGTTCTTACACATGGTTCCACAGCGTATGGTTCCACATACTTACACATGGTTCTATGTGGTTCCACCACAAGGTTCCAAATTGTTTTGATACATGTTCTAATACATGGTTTTATATTGTTTAAACACATTGTTATATGTAGTAGACTCACAGTTTTCTCTTAAAAGGAAGTTTTTCCTTGCTGCTGTCGCCAAGGTGCTCATGGTGGGAACTGTTGGGTCTCTGTAAATAATGTTATAAGGTGTACGGTCTATACCTACTCTTTTTGAAAGTGTCCTGAGATAACGTTTGTTATGAATTGGCGCTATACAAATAAAATTGAATTGAATGCATGCATATACACACGTCTGTACTATGCTAACAAAAGTACAGTAAGATAAAATGGATGATATCATTGGATAGTTAGTATCTTCAGGATCTAATCTTGTACCAGTGACACTTCTGTCTGTGCATAAAAGAAACTCCATGCTGAAGACATATCGTTGTTTGAATAATGAAACAACCATGTTTAGCTGGAGTCAATGAAAAACAATATATTTCAGAGACTGTTAACATAGACAGTTCATGCACAACGCAATAAAACATTTGCAACCATAGGACAACAATGGAATGCTATAATACAATATTTTTACAATTTGGCAAGACTCATTTCTCTATATTGAGGTCAGTTTTTCAAAACTGTCACACAGTTCTCTCTTCCAACATGCAGCACAGCTCAACTGTGAATCTAACATCCATAATGCACTAATGCAAAGAAAACACTTCATACACATCAGGATCAACTCTTACCTTATTTGTCTGGCAACAGTTACACTTCACTGATTACACAACAACCTAAAAAACCCACAAACACTAGGTAGTAATATGTATCCATATTAGATTCCATTACAACAAAGGACTTCCTCTGAAATTTCACACCGTTGATAATACTATGGGGTGTTGCACATTTAGCTGCACTCTCAGACCACCCTCTCTCATTCATAAATTATATTTTATAACTAGATTTGGAAACAAAGACCATGCCTCAAACTCATCTTGTGTCCACACAAAAAGTATACTCAAGCACCTTATCCTACAGTTTGTTAATCACCTTTATCCATTATGTGCAATAAACCATTCTAATTCCATATCCTCATTGCTGTGGTCTTTGTTAGTGAAACCATGGTTTGTGACATGATCAATTATAGAAGCTCCAATCTAATTTGAGACTAGAGCTCTGGGTCTTTCTCCTCTCAGCAGTCTTCCAGCATGTGTAAATACTCTTTCCGTTCTCACGACCACTCTTCCTCCTCTGCCAGCCATCTCTCAGGGTCAGGCTGGCTCCATGTTTACTGAAAAAAACTAAACCCTTCATATAGATGACATAAAATTGAAAAGCATAATCAGGTGTGTAGATGCTCGGCTAAAATGATTCCTTTCCTGTTTTTTTTTATATAAATGTAGCAGAATGATGTAAATTTGTGACATGGTAGTTGTTGATTGTAAATTTAACTTTAATTGTAAAATTTAACTCGGTAAAATGCCGTCCAGAATGATGAGCCCAGTGAATATTTTCATTCCCACCTTCTCCTGTAATAATTCATTAATTAATCCTGTCTGAATGGAGCTAAAGACCCAGGCTGGAGTCAAATAGTCAAAAAGGAAAACTCATGACTTGAAACGACAACCGCGGTGCTGACTGCACTTACATTTATACAGAGGGTACATTTAACCATCAACTACTGCCATTAAAACAATTATTAATTAAATCAAATAAAAAAAAATAAAAAAAGGAATATAGCAAAGGGATAGAGTGAATTATATTCAAATATAAGTGTAGAGAGTTTCCTGGCATGGGCGCTTCTGACCTTTTTTATACATTTAAGTACAAAAAATATTTTTTTTAGTGCTTTACACATTGGGTGACAGAAAGTCACAATGTGTGCATCCTATTAGATTATCTTTAGGCTGCCTGCAGTTTGCAGACCATGTTCAGACATATAAATAAACTTTAATATTATTACCAATCACACAATATCTGTTGGTTAACAAATGAAAACTTAATTGACAAGAGACATGAAACAGCTACAATCTATAGTTAAATATTAAAATCACACAAAAATTAGGAAAGCATGGTGTTTGTGTTTAAAAGTAAGAGCCAATCAGCTGATAGATCAGGTGACAACCAGGCATTTCCCATCATGCCCTTGGTCTTGTAGTCTATGAAGAGTAACTTCTGTGTCTGGCTCTAAAAATTGCAGTGGCCTCAATCTCGTGAAGTTATCGTTGGCCACGTGTAATTGATGTCAGAGCAAGTCAGACACAAATCCAACAAGCATGCATTGGGCGGCTGTGGCTCAGAGGCAGAGCGGGTCGGCCACTAATCAGAAGGTTGTTGGAGAGATACTGAACCCCGAATTGCTGCCGATGCTGTGTATCGGTGTGTGAATGTGTTAGTTTGTGTTCGATGGGCTGTTGGGCCGGTCACTGAGAGCTGAATGTGTGTGAAAGGGCGAATGCTCGCCGCATGTAGCTGTAAAAGCCCGCTTTGGAGTGGTCGGAAGACTAGAAAGGTGTTATAAAGTACACGGGGGTCCATTTACCATTACTATTGTGCCCCAATGATTGATTCTGCTGCCTTTTTTTTTGTGCAGCCTTGCGCTCATTAGAACGAAAGTTATTATTTTATTAAAAATGACCTACTGCAACAACCAACAACCTTTAGTTACTAAAAGAGGAAACAAAAGGGAAAATGGTATGTATAAGAGGTTATATCTAATTATAATCAATAATACCACATTACATTGGAAAAAGGATGTTATATTAGCTCACATGCCCCATTATTGTAAACCATCATACAATCTGGACTTCCATAGAGTTGCAGAGTATAAATCTGTCTGGAGACTAAACACTTGTTATGTTAATTACAGCTTATTGAAATTGATTAGTAAAAACAATAAAGGCTAAAAGCATTTATAAACAACTAGCAACTCATTTGTCTGATATCCTGATGGGACTTACAATCAAAACAGCAATCAAAACAGCACATTAGGGCTATACAGCCAATTAACTAAAGACCAGACTGACAGTGTGAAAATGAAAATGGAGCCAACTGAGGCTCAGTTCAGGAAAGTATAAAGCCATTTTTTTTTTTTAAACTGACTTGAATTATCATGCACAAAAAAGCATTTTAAATTTCAAGTAGGCAAGGCTGGATTGCCAATAGCGCAACTGCCACAGGCACAAAAAGGCTTGAGTTCACTGAATGAAAACTAATTGCAAATTTGTGCAAGTGGCGGTGCCAGGGAGGAGCTA